GATGTAGATACCTAATGTTTCAATACAGAAAGACTGTGAATGATCTGTAGAACTGGAACTCTTCTTTCTACACCGTATATAGCCAAAAAACTACAATTGAAAGAAGGACAGAGAGAGAATGAAGAATGCGATGTTTGTTCTTTCTGAAATGGAGGGCTTATCGCAGAAGGAATCATTTCTTCAATGAAGAAATGAGAAACTAGTTTGCTAGACAATAGATCTTGCTGGGTTCAATATATGTAAATCAGAAACATTGAATTTTCTTAGATGATGAACAAATTAAAACTACAAAGAAAGCCATCTATGAACTTTCATTAAGAATGAAATTATTTTCAGAACAACAATTGGAGAATTCGAATCAGGACAGTCAAACTGCAGACATTGAGTCTCTATCATCCTCCTCCAAAGATGAATTAGATTTTGAGAAATATTTTGGATAATATTAAAAAGGCTAAGGCAAGGCGAATGAAAATAAAGAACCAAAAGCCTTTAGATATAAAAATGAAAAAATACAAACAAGATTTCTGCATGGCCCTTGAAGAAATAGAGAAATATGATTGCGCTTGCAAGACACCTCTTTTAGAACTTATAAAACTTATAAAAATATATCCTGAAAAGTTAAAAGAAGTAGCCCTAACAGTAATAGCTCTTCCTCCTACTTAAGTTAGTGTGGAAAGACTCTTCTCAGCTCTGAAGTTTATCAAATCGGATTTATGGCCCTCCAACAAAGAAGATCTTGCCAAAGCTATACTGTTTCTTAAAATAACTAATGCTAGGTTTCCATTTCATAATAAATGGTAATTAATATAAATAATATGCTATCAATTTTTTTTCTGTACCATCTATTACTTCTTTTATATTAAAAAAATAAGCTGTAACCCATGTGTATATGTTTACATATATTTATATATATATGACATAATAAAAGCACAGGAAAAGGCGGAGCACTGTTGATGCGTAGTTATCCTATCCTATATTGAAGAGGAAGTATTCTGATTGCACTAATGTGTTGACTTTGTAAATAAAACTTGTCAGTCGAGGCGATTTTAATTCCAATTTTATTTCCAATTGACATTATGTGGCCACAGATCACTTAGCACCCTAATCGTGCTTTTCCACAGAAGATTTACATTTTTTATATTGTTGAGATAGAAAGCAAGCCAGAGGAATTACATCTTAGCACAGTACAGAGCAAAGCTGAAGTGCGTAGTTATACAAGATGGAAACACACAAAGAGAAAAAGTTTTGGTTTACGATGGTCATTTTAGTTCCCAATTATTACGTTATCAGAGCTGCACAGGCCATAGAATGATCTAGAAATGACGCAACCCAGAGAAGGTATTGCAATTTTTAAAACAGAGAGGAAAAATTAAAGTTTTTTCGTTAGTTTAAATTTTAATTTTGATTCACATATTTTTTTATCTTACATATATACGAGGAAGTCGGAGTCTTTAAAATTCCGGGAGTCAGAGTCAGTCATTTTCCCTACCGATGGCTCACAAAAAAATGAGTCAAAGGCATGCAGTCAGTGGTCGTAAGTTTCGTTTAACAGAATGACCCCCCTCCAAAAAAAAAAAAAAACCTGAAAATCTGTAAAGGAAGTTATTCTATGCAGTCTAAAAATAATGCTCCACTCTCCACAAAACCTCAACTAAGTTTCAAAGTTCCCACTCCATTTATTTGGTTAAGTGTCCAATTTCTTCTCTCTCACTTCCCTAATTACGCTACATACACATAGAAAGTTTTCAAGAAGATTTATCTGAAAAACATTTTATCTCCATTTTCTTTTTTCTAAGGGTGCCCCTTGGATTATCACTAAGTTGTTTCATTTATTGCCAAATTGTTGTTTCAATTATGGTAACTTGAGTAGTTGAATGTTATGGAAACCCTATTATGACAAAATTGGTTGCTTGATTGCAGTGAATTTGAATGATGGGAAGAGATTTGTAGATGCTTGTTTGTGTTGGATGTTGGTTAGGGAGTACATTGTTATTTTGTGGTTTACATGGTAAAAATGGCTGAATGTGGTAAGATAAATTTAAAGTTTCTGTACGATTTGGAACGACAGGGAAGACAGTATTAATTGACTGGTGTGTAAATGAAGGTTTGCTTATTAGTCATTATTAACCCTTTGAGTACTGAATTATTTGAAGATTTTTATGCTCATGGGATGGATTTAATTTGTTACTATATGGATTAATATGTAAAAGTAATACAGTCAAAAGTCATTAATTCAGACACCCATAATCCGGAATGATCTATAATCCGGAACTCAAAGCTACAAATTTCTGTGCATGCGTCGCGTTGACGCATAAAACCTTTATGGCTGCGAATATGTGTGTGCGCATGCGCGTTTAATGTATAACAGACTGTATAAGCTAAGCTAAAATTATCTAATTCAGTTAATGTTGCAGATTGTGTTGTTCCTTAATCTTCGAATTGGATCCGGCTTATTATTTTTTGCAGACTGTTAGAGCAATTTTATAAAAGTAAGCTTGAACTTTCAATTATGTCAAATAGAATTTCCGATACATATTTACTAATATGTAAAGGATCTACAAAGCGAAAGTATGTTTCAAAGTCTATTAAATAAAAAGTGGAATTGCTGCAAAAAATGGATAGAGGCATAATCCTTTGTTTATCTAACCATTCCGAAATCTGTTTATCAATTTCACGCTGCTCTGGGGGGGGGGGAAACGCCGCGGCCCGCAATGAATTGAAAGTTGATCTGTCAGCACTATCCTTATCTTCAGGGAAGATGTTTTTATTTTATTTGGCTTTTAATTCCATACTAAATGTAGTATTTCATCTCGATGTACTCCGTCTTTGATATGATTTAAATCAAATTCCTCCTCATTATAATTTGCTTCCGATAGTGAAGAAAGTGACACAGAGGTTATTTAAAACGAAAAAAATTTCGATTGACGAATTAGTCGGTATTCTCGACACAGCAATTAAAGGACTTGAACAGCGGAACTTTGTAACTGCTAAAGAAGAAATTATGTCTGTTTATAGAATTATAGATAAAATATTATCACATAAGACGAAGCAACTTAAACAACTTACATTGAAAGAAATGTTTAATAAAGTAAACAAATAAATATTAAGCTTTTTTTTTTTTTTTTTTTTTTGTAATTTTGATACTCTTTAGATCATAATTGTTCTTCATTTCATAAAGTACGGTTTCATATTTTTAATTTTATAATTTCTGCATGCCATCTTACCAGATTTAAACTGATGATCTATAATCCGGAAAAATCGATAATCCGGAATCGCCGCAGTCCCGACGAGTCCGGATTACTGACTTTTGACTGTACACTATATTTAGAATATACTTATATTGGCGATATAAATATATTTTTAAAACAGCATTTTAGTTGCAACACGTTGCACAGCATTTTAGTTAGGCACGCAGTTTAATTAGGCCTAGAGGAGTAAACAAGTAAAATTTTGTAAAGATAGCACTTATTGTTTTAATGAAAAACGATAAGTTCAAAACAATAAATGAAAAACGATAACTGATTGAATAGAGGGTACAATTCTGTTTTGAGGGCCGTAAAAAAATTGCAGTGAAAATGTATGAGCAAAAGCGGCAAATCTAGCAAACGCGCCCATTTAAAACAGTGCGCCAAATCTAGCGTACGCGCTGATTTCAGATTGCGTAAGTTTATATCATTTTATATTTCTTAAGACGCCATTGAAATACTAGTTTAATTTTTAAATCCTTTTTTGATATCCTATGGATTTAACAATTTGGGAATTGCCCATTACGAAAAGTCGGCAATAGAATTTTGTGTAAAATGCAGAATCTCCCTCTACTTGATGCATTTTTAAGAATTGCACATATTCGGTATCCATGTGCACATCGACCTATTTTCACTTAAAAAGTAAAAGAAATTTGACAAAAATCCAATTGTTTTTATTCTTGTAAGAAGCGGCAAATAAATAAGTGAGCGATTCTGCATTTTACCGAGAATATTTTCAAAGAATATTATCAAAGTTGTAGCAATTTTTATATAAATTATAATAATGATCTGAAATAGTTATTTACTCTTATGCTTATATTCAGTCATGTTTAGCCTTTTTTATATAAATTATAAAAAGTATTATATGAAATTAACCTTTCATCTAAATTAAAACAATCTTAGATAGTTATTTACTATTATACTTCCTTTCTTGCATTAAGGTTGCTGGAATTATTTTTGGCAGCATTGGCATCAACAATAGTTTGGCGATTTTTTACGGCTCTCAAAACCAAATAGTACCGAATAGAGCTTCGAAAAGTGTGCTGAAACGAGCATTGCTGGGAAGCACGTAAAGGAGTAAGAGATTTTGCCTACGATTAAAAAACAATAGATTCTGAATACCATAGGAGATTTAGCATTACCCAGGGTGTGCCACGGGTTGATCTGCTACTCTACACCCGCCCTAAAAAGCTCATTTTTGGTTAAATGATGATTACATGCTTATAAATGGGAAAAAAAGTAACTTAGGCATATGATATTTACATTATTTGTGTTTCATATTTACACTTTAGTCTATTTTTTCATCATGATACTTTTCAAGGAAAGTGACACCACCTTTGAAAAAGCACAACCCAATATTGCATGTTTTGCACATATGCTGGCATCCGTATCAAATTCACTATCTGAAAGCAATTTGTGTACATTTTCAGTGCTTTAGCCCTCTCCGATCCATTTGGAAAATAATTAAAAATAAAAATTAATAAATAAAATAATATTATATCTACAATTTGAAATTGTAAACTATAAAATAAAAATATAAATGTCTACAACTCAAACCTATTAAATGCAGTGCTATGAAAACTTCTTTGAACCAATGTGAAAAAGAGAACTGCTCTAGTGAAAAACTGATAAACAAAACTGTTAAACTGACCTTCAGAAAATCACTCCAACAATTTCTTAGTTGATAACTAAACCTCCCCTCAAAAAGGGGGGGAGAAGAGAAAAACAGGAAATGAAACACAGATATGAACTCACCTTTCTATGTTAATGAGCTGACCGATGAGCTTCAGAGAAACAAAGATACAGCAGCCTCTCAGTGACCTAGACTCGCAGTGAGTCCAGTCTGGGAATACCTCGGTTCGCCGTTCGATTTTAGACAAGATTTCAAAATAAAAATTTTAAACTAGAATAGGGAGATTAGCATACAGCCAAAAAAAATAACATAAAAATTTCCTTTCCAACAATTCCTTTTATACCCTAATTTACCTAGATTTCTTTAAAAAATGAGGTCTTAAAAAAACTAAACATGGCTAAAATATGTGGACTGGTTTGTGTTGAGCTGCCATCTACTATAAATAAAGAAGGTTCAGAGTAACCTATAGTAATCTTCAAATCTTTTTTCATTCAATTTTTCTGTGCGTACAGAATGAACGTGCCGCAGAGGGTTAACTAATTGGTAATATAAAGAAGAAAAGGTGCCACAACAAGTAATTAACATTAATAATACAGCTAAACCTACTTTTTTTAGAAAATGCATTAAAATGAGATATATTTCGTGGCTGTTAAAAAAAAAATAATTCACAGGACATAAAAATAAAATTATTAGTATGGTATACATTGATGAAACTCTTTCAGTCTGAAATTTTTTAATTGTAACGCAATCGGTATAACAAATAACTACTAAAATACTGGCTGCCAATCTTTAAATATTTCTTAATTTTTAATGCCAGGTACTGACAATAAAATACTGATTAGCTCTGAGAATTAATACCGCATATTTTAAAAGATTACTAAAAAATTCATAACTTGCATTTACATACTAGTTTTCAATACATGGGGGAAGACTTTTCTTAGTGTAAATTTACTTTAAATCTCTAATATGAGCACACACACATGAAACTTCCTCCAACGTAAACAAATACAGACAGACGGACCAAGTAGACAGATGTCTTTTGCATCCGCTAAGTCTTTCTGCACCGTTGGGCAAACAGTTAAGCTTAGGTGGAAAAGAAAGATAATTTTATATTTGACCATAAATATTTGATTTTAGATGCGGATGGAATTGTATACAGAGAAACTAGTTCCTGTTCTATTTCGAAGAATCCAATTCGTATCAAGAGATTTCGGGTAAAAATGAAAAGTAAGATTACGAGTTATCACACACACAGATCGTATTTTATTCTCGAGTGTCAAGACAACACCTTCTTAAACAGAAGAAGGTGTTGGGTCTTTAAGAAGGTGTTGGGTCCGCACTAGCGGCGGCGAAAAAAGGGGGCTGGCAAGTTCAGTATCGTTATAAGATGTAGCCGCGGGTGGTCAACCGCGAGTCAGTTTAGCGTGAATGAGTCAATTAAGGTTGTGATTCTTATGTGGGAAGGATGTCATTGGGTAACGATGTTTTTCTCTGGGATGCGGGGAGTGTCTGAGAGTGCTAACAAGTCTATTACTGTGGGTTTGTACTGAATAAAAGAAGTGGACCGCTAATCGTTTAATATACTCTTGAAAAAGTTCGATTCGAAGGTCTCTGTGAATATAGATGTTTGGAATATACCAAGGAGCATTGTTAATTTCTCGTAAAATTTTATTTTGTAGAATTTGTAATTGTTTAATATTGGTTTTAATTGCATCTCCCCAGATCGGTGCTGCATAAAGGAGGGCTGGGTGCAGTATGGAGCGATATAAAATTAATTTGTTTGTAGTAGATAAGTTGCTTTTTCTACCAAGAAGAGGTTGCATAGTAGCTGTGGTGATTTTAAATTTTTGTACTACGGACCGGAAATGGGTTCTGAAGGTAAGTTTTTGGTCAAGGGTGACTCCAAGATATTTGGTTTCATTAATCCAGTCTATTTCTTTCTTCAAATATTTCAGGGGGTGGGGGGATAGTATTTATGTTTCTTTTACGGGAAAATATGCCTTAGTTTTATCAGTGTTTAAGTTTTAAATCCTCCGAAGGGTAAGCCATTTTTCAGTTTTATGAGAGCTTTGGAGTTGGTTTCTTACGGCGGCGATAAACAGTGCAGGCTTTAGTAAGTATGGCGGTGTCCTCGGCAAAGAGTAAGATGAACAGAAGGGTCTTTAGGGATGTCTTGTGTATAAATATTAAAGGTACGGCGAAAGTGCCGACCCTGTGGACCACCAGCATTGATTACTCTGGTGGTAGAGTAAGCAGTACCGATTTTGATTCTGAACGTTCTGTTGCTGAGAAAAAAGGCTATTAAGCGAATAAAATAATCTGGAAAATTGAGAGTGATTAGTTTGTAAATAAGTCCTCGATGCCATACCCTGTCAAAAGCTTTCGCCATATCGAGGAATATAGCACCGGTCGGAAGCTTGCAGTTCTAGCTTTCAGTGATAATGTTGAAAACTCTAAGAAGTTGGTGGCAAGTGCTATGATGATTACGAAAACCGAATTGTTCTTCTGGGAGAAAATTCATGGAAGGGTGAATTTTTTTGATGTGGAAAACTAGGATTTTCTCAGTAACTTTAGAGAGATGGCTAAGTAAACTGATAGGGCGATAGTTCTGTGGGAGAGTTAGATTTTGTTGCGGTTTAGCAAAAACAATTATTATAGCTTGCTTCCATGAGTTAGGAAAATGAGCGAATTTGATAATGTTGTTGATAATCTTAGTTAGGCAGGTAAGATGCTTTGGTCGAGATGCCATCGTGCCCCAGGGTTTTCTTCGTTTGTAAGGCGCTGGTGGTGTTGGCAACGGTCGTTGGGATAGTCAGGAAAGTGAAGTTGTACGGAGCAGGGGTATTAAGAAAGTTATTGACCACCTGGTTGACCCGTTCAATATGGTTATTGTCGTACGGAGTGGAATCAAGAGTGAATGTATCTTCTATATAGTCCGCAAAAGATTTAGCTTTATCTTCTTCTGTATATGAAATTCCACTAGGTCCATGGAAGGACCTAGTGGACCTAAGTCCATGGATTCCATAGGTGGAATAGGTTTATAAGGTTTCTTGAATTTGCGGGAAATGTCAAATAGGGAATTGTCCTCTATAGCTAGGTTATTTAGGAAATTGGTCCATTTTTGGTTTTTGAAGTTCTTGATTCTTCTGTTGATTTCTTTTTGCATAGAGTTTAGTTCGTGTTTAAGTTGTGGATCCCTGGTATTTTGCCATCTTTTGCGGATCCGGTTTTTATGTTTAATACTATTTCTTATATCGGCAGGCAGGGGGAGGAAAGGCTTGTTCACATAAAAAGTATTGGTGGCTTCCTTTAAAGCAGAATTGATGCTGTCGGTAAATTTTGAGACTTCGTGTTCTAAATCTTCTTTGTTGTTGATGCATGGGTTACCTTAAATGGAGTTATTCAGAATTTCAGAGTATTTGATCCACTTTGTAACTCCTATACTTCTGTCAAGTGAGGGGAGTTATTTATTAATGGGGATTTTAAATACAATTGGGTTGTGGTCGGAAGACAGGGCTGAAATTACACAGATATGCATCTGTTAGTAATGTTATTTGAGATGAAGAAGTCAATTGTGGTGGCGCTATTGTACCCGTAATGGGGGGCTCGTCTGGAGCATGAATGTTATAATTATTTGATTGAATGAGTTTAAATATGTCATTTCCTTTTTTGTTAGCAGGTTCTCAGTTCCAGCAGGGTGGTTTGGCGTTTGAAGTCCCCTCCGACAATGGTAGAAGTTATTAGAATTAAGGAGGTGAATCAATTCTGTGCCCTGGGATTATTATTGGTGGGATGTATATATTCGAAATTTTGAATTTCTTATGTTCTATTACAATTTCTATTGTGTTACTTTCGAAAGTGGTGCTGGGATTAAGAATTTGAGAGTGTTTTATGCTCCTTTTAACAAATGTGATGATGCCACCTCCTCTTCCTGTCTCACGATCCGTACGGTAGGTGTTATAATTAGCATAAAGTACTTTGAGTGCTGGTTTAAGGTGAGTCTCTAGTATGAGTATTACCTCAAGTTCAATTTCAATAATGAGGTTGGATAATTCATCTTTTTTATGGTAAACACCGTTTGCGTTCCAAGAGAAGATTTTTATGTTGCACCTATTCTTGAATTTATTAGAATTAAAGTTGATTTCCTATTTTTTCTATGGACGATTATTACACAGATTCGTACAAAAAGCTCCTCTGGTTTGGACGGTATACATGCGGGCATTGTGAAGACGTTGTTTGAGTTTTATCCTAGCTTTTTCCGGCATTTATACAATAAATGTTTGTTACATGGTCTCTTTCCTGAGGTTTGGAAAATTGCAAAACTAATTCTCATACCTTAAAGCAATGATATAATAAGGACAATATGTCTGTTAAAGGTGCTGGACAAATTGATTGCAAATCGGTTACAATATTATATAAAAAAACGAAAAAATTTATGTCTCCTAATCAATAGGGTTTTTGTTTTTTGTTCCGGGCGGAGCACAGAGGATGTATTATATTATGTTATTAATTTTATAAGAGATAATAAAAAGATAGATCATATGGTGGCCGTCTCTTTTGATGTTACTGGAGCATTCGACTCTATTCGTTGGCCGTCACTTCTTGTCAAGTTACTTGAATTGAAAATAATAAGAAAGCTTTTGACAGGGTATGGCATCGAGGACTTATTTACAAACTAATCACTCTCAATTTTCCAGATCATTTTATCCGCTTAATAGCCTCTTTTCTCAGCAACAGAACATTCAGAATCAAAATCGGTACTGCTTACTCTACCACCAGAGTAATCAATGCTGGTGTCCCACAGGGTCGGGACTTTCGCCGTACCTTTTTAATATTTATACACAAGATATCCCTAAAGACCCTTCTGTTCATCTTGCACTTTTTGCCGATGACACCGCCATACTTACTAAGCCTGCACTGTTATCGCCGTAAGAAACCAACTCCAAGCTATCTCATAAACTGGAAAAATGGCTTACCCTTCGGAGGAT